TACAGAAAATTACAACTTTGCATATAAGAAGAAGAAAGATAACTTTTAAATCATTAAATTATAATATGATTTGTGTTGCAATAGTATGTGCTATATTATTTTTCTTAATTTGCTATATTTTTTCCCAGGAAAATAGAGTTACCCTATAACATTATTGCTATCACATAAAGGGCCAATAGCCACCTAAGTGATAGCATCTTGCTGTTTACTGGTCCTCTTTAAGGAGTTTTTTAGATCCCTAATGTCACCTATGGATCCCAATAAAGTTGATCAAGCACAGATCATGCATGATCAACTTCATACCCCCACCAGGGGAATGACAGCTCTGAATCCAAGTAATGTAATACACGTTTCTTTGGGGTTTTCACTAGAAGGAGGATCAGCGAATGGATTTTTTTTTTTTCAGTTAACACTGTGATTGTCTCCCAGTATGCATTTAAAGCAGCATCAAGTTAGATAAAGCTTGCTTCATTACCTGGCTGGAGGATGTCCAGCATCATCTAAAGTTCTAGACCTTTCTTCCACCTCTGACCTGTGCTTGGCATGCCTCTTTCATTTATAGGATTTCAGTCCTTTCAATCTTGAAGGCACAACATCTCATACGGGTGATAACTAGTCTGAATGTAAATACAGCCTGCCTAGAAATGTATATTCCTCCAAACTGAAATCCACCTATCAAAGCATTTTGAGATTAGCTAAACAGCTTCCAAAAGGCAGCCCACTTCTTGTACAGTATTCTGTCAGCTCCTCCATTCAATCATTTGTCAATGGATCTGAAAAAAGAAATGTAATGTCACCCACGTACAGAAGCCCGTTTTACTTAACACACTGGGGATGACTAAAACTGGTGCACACAGAATCCGTTGCAGCTGTGCATAGTAACCAATCAGGTTCTAGGTTTTATTGTCAAAACTTATTGGAACAAGCTGAAGTTAGAACCTGAGTGGTTACTATGCACAGCTGCACCAGATTCTGTGTGCGCCGATTTCATTAAATCTTCCCCACGGTTACATATAGGTTAATAGACAGCCCACTAAAATACTTACATTGATAAATATTAAGAACAGAATCACTCAAAGGCTTTTATCAGAGTTTAGCAGGAGCAGAGTTTAGGAGCAGTTAAACATCCCTCTCCCGAACGCAGAATTGTGTTCAGGAGAGAAATGTTTTGGTAAAAAACGCCAAATGCAGGAAAATAGCATGTAAACGTACCTAAGCGCTGTGTTTCTATGGCAAGTACTCTGGTGGTACTGCATTTACACGCTGAGTTTAGCATTTTTCTGCTGCCAGCAGAGTAAACGTTCCAGTGTACATGTATCCTAAGATATCTTATAGATTTCTAAGGTCCCACTCACAGCAATCACCACTAAGATCCCAGTTTTAGCTCCCTAGACACTGCACATGATGGAAACTCAATCAAATAATGCAAATTCTAAGTTTCAGTATCTCTGCCTGTACACACCCAGCTACAGATTCTGGATCCCCAGGTAGTCTGTCCTCTGATCAACATGCAAACATTGAATAAAAAAAAGAAAGATACACTCCTAGAAAAAAAATCTGATAAAGTTGTTTATTAATTGTTGCAAATGCCAAAATCCTGAACCGCCTTCCTCTAACAAGCTATGAGATTAATCACAGATAAACTGAAATGCATTAGCGGGTGGAGGTTGAAATGATTTTTCCATTTGCACGAAGTGGAATAATGAACATCATTATTGGCTGTTATCATGGAGAGCAGATTTCCTTTTCTCTACAATGTTTTCATTGTGTTAACCCAGCCATAACAAAATTGCCTTACAATATCCAGGAAAAATGGGCAATAGTGGGTCCAAGACATAAGGATCAACATCAAGTCACCTTTCCACCTTTATCTTTCTCCTCAAAATTCGTCAAAGACTTAGCCAGATATAAGAATAATCCAAGCTTCTCAATTATTGACTTCATTGCTCCTATTCCCAGCTACAAGAAAAGAAAACCTCATCACTAAATACAGAGACTTTAGAAATGTCACCATCAGAAAGATAGGAGTTAATTAGTAAAGGAGAAGTACAGCCAAAACTCTTTTGGCTGTACTCCTGTGGATCACAGGAGTGCAGTTTGTTCTGCCTTTCTGTGGCCCATTTTCAACTGAGAGAAGGCTGAAGCCCACTGTTGGTTGACCTCACTCAGCTGGTCCAGGCTTAGAAAAGATCCCAACTTTAAAGTCAGGATTTCTTACATTTAGAGCCGGCAGGGGACAGATGCAGCCTTGGACCAATGCATCCATCTAGGTAAGTATGATTTTGGGAAAAAAAAAATATATATATCATACTTCTCTTTTAAATGAAGAATTAAAAAAAAAAGAAAGAAGGGAGTTATCCCCCTCTCAGCTACGACAACAAAAAAAAACAGACCCAAATTCCTACTGTCTCCTTTACGACAAACCATATCCTCTAAGGAAATATCATGCATTCAAAGGCAAGTCCTTTGAAGAATGCAAGGAGTTTCCAAAGAACCATGCCATTTGTTTCAGATTTTGTGAATCCACAGAGCACTTTGACAGAGACTGCAAGGCTACAGTTAAGTATGCAACAACATGCACGTATCAGCCTTACACTAATCCCCTTTAAAAAAAGATTCTACATCTAATGAAGACCTTACAACAGCGTGTTTGTTTCTTCTTTCTGAAAACAGGAAACTTTATTTCAGAGAAAAGACATAGAGTTTACCATAGATGCAGCTACAAACCTATAAACCATCTACTGGTTGAAGAATATATCTCTACTGAATACTGATGTAGTTGTTGCAAAAAATACATGAACAATATTTCAACAGGACTCTCAGACAAAAGTAGCGCTAAAAGTACGTGTTTCTTGGAGCACAACCTAAGAAAGGTATCGGTATCTATGCTGTTTGTATGACCAAAGCAGTCTTTCTTTTGCCTTTTCAGAGTTTTTCTATATGTATATGGAGTAGTACTGTCCTACATACTGAGCACGTGCTGGCACAGGATGCATTGCTGAAGAATTTATTATTTCAGACTTACAGAACTGAAGGAATTTATGTTCCTACATTCATCAAATGCAACCAAATGCCCTATGAAACAGAGGAGATCCCTACACATGAAGACATACATCATTCCTCTTTATTTGACTGGTTACTTCCTACCACTTGACAACAACGCCAAAAATAATGTACAAAAATACATGAAAAGTTGAAAGAGAACATGAATATGAGGCTGATTAATTTACAAAGCCCACTAGTAAATACCAGATTAGCAAGATTCTAGCATTTAGTCCAATGTAAAGTTCTGATTTTAATTGTACTGATTTGGAAGAAAGGCTTAGTTTTTATGGTTAAGGTATAAAAAAAGGAAAAAGAAAATAATTTGAAAAATAAAATTACATTATTTTAAGATCTTTGTTCTTATAAATGTTACATAAATTTGAAAAGTATGGGCAATGGCTGGCTTCTGATGATGTCTTACCAACTATAAGAGGATTCATGTTCACAAGTTTCTTATAAATTACAGTATGTTTATAGATTGTTTTACAATTAAAAAAAATCATTTTGAGTGCAGATTTCAAATGTGTACACACATGCAGAGAAACGAATACAGACATCCATGAAAACACAGCACTGTACATGCTCTTTGCATGCAAATTAAAGCTTGACACATTTTGCAGAAACCACTACAATAACATTTTTCTTTTCTAAATGACAAGACATTATTTAAACATAATTAATGCTAAGTCAGATGGAACACTCTGTATCCTTTTTTTCTGTCAAGTAACACTAAGCAGATAATAAAAGTAAATGTAACTTGTTTTATGGGGAACAAGTTAGCTATGAAATATAAATTAGTTTCACACCTTATTATTTACCTGTCTGGCTGTCAGACAAGACCAATTGGTTGGCATCATGACTTGCTTATGGGCTCAGTGTATTGCATAGATCACTTTGTAGTTCATTATTTCTTGCTGCTTTAATGAGTATTGCTTTGCCTTGAATAGAACTGCAACTGCTCTAGAGCTTAGTGAATGAGATAAAGCTTTACTTTGCAAAGAATAACCATTCACATGCAAGAAAAATAAAAAAAATTACATTTTTGCATGTACATGATTGGATGATGGAAGGCAGCAGAGCTTTTCCTCATTTACTAAGCTCTGGAAAAACTGCACTTGCAAAGTGCACAATCTAGTTCCCTTTAGTAAATCAACACCAATGTGTGTATATGCAATTGTATACTCTTGTAAACAGGATAATAACATGTGTAAGAGGAGTAGGTGAGGGGGGAGGGCAATCCTGGGGGTATGTACATTTGCAGAAATAGAGAGTCAGAGAAGTCAAGCCCTGTTAAAGTAAATCTTCACCCTGAAAAGGGAATTGCCTCCTCTCCAACCCTCTTCATCTCTGATACACAAATATTAAATATTGTTTTTTCCTTTACCTTTTTTTTGTAGAAATATTTCGTTCCCCCCCCCCCCCCACCACCTTCTAGGGAAATGACATGTGCTGTTCTCCCCTCCTGGGATGCCTCCTGGATGATGTCATGCATGTCACCTTATGTGAAGAACTCGGGAGGGGTTAAAAAAAATTGGGAAGCATAGGCTCATCCCGATGGTCATTGCCATAGTTTGGTGAATGCAGGAACGACAATTTTACTATTGAATTGCCTGTGTCACAATAGTATGGGAGTTTAAAAGTTTTCCAGGATTTGTTAACATTTCTTTAGCAGGGTATGGAGATTTAAATTGCAACTGATGGGTTCAAATGTGAGAATAATCTAGAAATGAGGCCAGGTAAATATGGAAAAGTAGGAACAAACTTGGTGCATATGCTCTAGCAAAACAAGAAAGATGTTCCTCTAGTACTAGGATGCCTATTTAGGGACCATGACTGACTGAATAATGACCATGACTGAATAGTGGATAAAAAGAAATGTTTTACCTGAAGACACTGGAAGACCTCTGAATGGGGAAGATTGTATTTTTGAGAATAGGTTTTTTTTTTTTATATTTTAAAACACTTCACGTCCAGCCCATGTACAGTAATAAATGGCCAGGCAGGAGCAGTGCAGGAGCGGGTTGCCATTCATAAATGGCGCCCGCCATTTTGGATTGTGCGTGCTGCCCCTGGGACACAGCGAACATCGATCGCTGTACGGGACCTCTGTGTGAGGTACCGATCATGTGATCACTGATTGGCCAATACAGTGATCACATGAATAGTAGTAAGCAAGATGTCACATCTGGCATCATTGCTTGCCAAGTGTGAAATCGGTAAATGATCACAGAGATCACATGGTACAAGGCTATTCACAACAGCCTTGTACCATGTGTCAAGCTGTGACCAATTACAGCTCACACAGTATTTCTCAATGGCTGCAAGAATGCAGCCAGAGAGAAGAAGAAATGATTGCTTTTACAGCCTTTCTGGGTGTCAAAGCAATCAGTGTGAAAAAAGTAAAAAAAAAATCTTCATCACCCCCTACAAGTAGTACAGTGTCACTATGGTGACACTGTACTGCTAGGGTGACAGTATGTTAAAAAAATAAAAATAAATAAATAATAATATAAAAAAATAAAATAAAAATGTAAAAAATGTTTTGAAAAATTATGATTTTTGGTTATAAACTAATTTGGGTTATATTTTTTTACTAAAAAGATAACTGAATACATGTTGGCCAAGATTTATGATGAAACATTATTTATTTGCAAAATTTTATAAGAAAAACACTTTCTTAAAACATTTTTGAACTTTTTCATTTATATAGCAAAAACAAAAAAAAATTCCAGTGGTGAATAAATACAAAATAAAGTTTTATCTGTCTCAAAAAAATGCTAATAAATTCAGATGGGTACAGTGTTGCATGACAGCGCAAATTGTCATTCAAAGTGTGACAGCGCTGAAAGCTGAAAATTGGCCTGGACAGGAAGGGGGTAAAAGTGTCCGGACATGAAGAGATTAATATTTAATTTTAATGCGAGACTGCAGTTAACAAAGAAAGTGGCAAATAAGACAATACAAGAACTACATTGTACAGTTTATTGAGATAGTTGAACACAGTAACAGTACTAGATCTAAAGATAACCATTAATGAGCATCTTGATGGATGGTGGTTGGTCTCGCAATTAGCAAGTGGAGGGAAGGTTAAGAGGCCTATTTTTTTTTTAATTGGTTAGACGCACAATTTACAATTATTTTCAGTGTTAAATCTGCTAAACATTACATGTTTTACAGAGTTAAAACATTTAAAAAAATATTTTCATAACAAAAACCATACATGCTGGTTGCTAATACTGACTACAGATATGAGAGGAGAGATATGCCAGTTCTCAATATGACTGTTGATGCCAGGAAGGATGGATTGTGTAGCACAAGTCACTGAAGCATTAGGGATTGTGCACTGTCCTGCATATGGGACAGAGGGCCTCCAACAATTTCAAATATACTCCAGCAAGAACTAGGGCAATAAGAAAGAGTATAGAGTGCTGCAGGATGCACAGGAACCTACTGGACCCCAGTCCAGATATGAAAGAGGGACACCTTTCAGCACAAATAGATCTAATAAAACTGGTGCACTCTATGCATAGTAGCCAATGAGCTTTTAACTTCAGCTTGTTCAATTAGGCTTTGGCAAATAAACCTGGAAGTTGACAGGTTTCTATACAGAGTTGCACTAGAGTTTGCACTCTCCAGTTTTAGTAAATAACCCCCAGTATGTAGGCAAAAGACCCCCCCCCCCCCGTCACTCATCATATTACACAAACCATGAAAAATTATTATGCAAAAAATGGTCGGATAAAATACCTGGAATATCCAGGTGTATTGAAAGCTTGCATTCAAGGCCAGATCTAGCCTGTCTAATCTGGGGGTGCAGTAAAAAAGTCAGGGGGCACCATGTCAACACACTTTCAGTGCATCCTCTCCTCTCTTAGTTCCCTACATCTCCATGTGACTGCAATGAAAAGCACATGTGATAAGCCAGTGTTTTTCAACCTTTTTTATGCATGGCACCCTTTAAAGATATACAGATCCCGAGACACCCCAGTCCTAAACTGCATTAATTGGACAGAAGGATACTGACATCTGTACTGGATGATAATGTCACCCACTCCATGGTGCCACATGGGGGAAACCCCTCTTCACATCAGATTCCACTCATCACTTCAGAGTCAGCCACCTTTACGTCACAGTCATCCTCCTTGAAATTAGAGTCACCCCCATTTTAAAAGAATCCCCTCTTCCCATTGGAGCACCTGCCATTACAACAGAGCCCCCCCCCCTTCACAACAGAGTCCTGATATCATAACAGAGTCCCCCCTTTTTATATAGCAACAAATGATGCCATGGATCCTGGTAAACCACTCCTGCACCGTGGAAACTAATGATGTGGTGTGGTACATAGGGTCAGGGCACTGTGTAACCATGCTGCCTTGGCAGGGGCATTTTATGAAAGCAGCAGGCCAATGTGTAAGATTATTACTTGGCTTTCTGCCAAGAGGAAATGAGAATGAAGCGTATACAGAGTGCCACAGCAAAAAGTGTTTTTTGCGGCTTTAAGTAGCCCTTGCTGGTTTATTTAGTAGGCTGAACGAAAAAAGAAAATGAACAGATTCCCCCATCCACACAAGCAAGGTGAATAGCGGAATACTCTCTGTTGGCTTGATGTGGTTTGATGTAAGTGGGTGCCGTAAGGAACAAGCAGCTTGGTCAACGCAAGTCAAAACATATCCTTACCACACCATGGATCTTCAAAAGAACATCCAAAAGTTTATTAAAGAAATCACATCACAGCAGTAAATTGTAATGTTTCAGGGCCACACAGGAGCCCTTCATCAGACACAAGGATGCCTGGGGTCCTGTGTGGCCTCTGGGTCCCTGGGTCCTGTGTGGACCTGGAATGTTGCAATTTACTTCTGTCATGTGGTCTCTTTTTGGATGCTTTTTTGGATGCTCTTTTGAAGATCCATGGTGTGCTGACAATATGTTTTGACTTGCGTTGGCCAAGCTGCTTGTTTCTTATGGCACCCACTTACACCAAACCATATCAAGGAACATGTGCGACAGGAATATTCCACTTGATCCAAGTACCCAGCAGTGACATAGTAACAATTCACTAACATAATAATACTCTTTCTTTAGCATCAATATTTCCTTCATTTTTTTATCAAAGAAAATGCTTATATTAAAAAAGAATTAATTATAACGTGCCTTTAGTATATACAGTATATATATATATATATATATATATATATATAACTGGTTTAGAGGCACTCAAGGGTCTTGCAGAGGAGTGTTTTTATTGTCAAAGATTCGATGAAGCTCAGTTTATCTTTCTCAAGACACTACAACATAGACGTCCCACTCACCTACAACACCCCCTAGAGATGACCTTACACAGTGCAAGGGTTAAAAGACACATACAGGGAAAAAGTAAAAAAAAAGATCACAAAAGGAATAAAACACAATAAATCACCAAAACATATGCAAAATCATAGCTGAAATTAAGCTATCAAAAATAGCTCCTACATGAAGATGGCAATTTGCAGAAAAAGTGGAACAAACAAAGGAGGCAATGAATACTCACAAGATGGCTGAACCTAGCACATGGCAAACACAAGGCAGGCATAGCCTATCCATAAGAAGTACCATGAAAAAAATAATAAAACTACAAGTGGTGCAAGGACAACAAAGCAATAAATGAAAAATTACCATATGGCCACAAAAATAATACCCAAGACCAAACACCCCACTTGTGCCAAAAGTAAACAGTCATAGAAGTTTGAATTGCACCCTATATAAGAGCATAAATCCACAGAAAACATCAAGAGTGCACAAAAACAGGAATGCATACAAATGTATGTACTATAAATCAATACTCCACTACAGGGGTGGACTGACCATTCGAGCACTCGGGCACTGCCCGAGGGCCCGGGGGTCAGTAGGGGGCCCATGAAATGCCCCTGTTACCTTTTTATAGGCTTTTTTGGGTGTGCTTTGAGTGTGGGCAAAGACACAGGGGCCCCATGATCCCCTATTGCCCGGGGCCCCATGAGTTGTCAGTCCACCCCTGCTCCACTACCAGATAGAAGAAACCGGAGGACTCAGCTATATAAATAGTTGCAGAGGAGGAATGATGGTGAGAACCCCAAGACTAACACCACTAGGTGAAAAACATGTCATACCAAACAGAAGAAGTAAATGTGGAAAACAAGTGAGGTTTCCATGAAAAACAAGGGTCTGGACAACCAAAAGCTGTAATAGGGTTTGAGTTGCTCCTTTTAACTCTCAGCATCTGGACATATGAGATTCCATGGACTAGTGCTAGGGGGTGTGCACTGCGTGCATGAAGTAAAGTGTTTCTATCAGTTGGCTTGTGGTATAGCCGGATCCCCAAGATTGTATTATCATCGATGACTATTTTATAAATGTTGAGATCCAGGAAATTGATGTTAGTATCAGAAGCTGTAAGGGCCAACCTGATTGCGGTAGAGATATCATTGAGCTCATCAATCCTCCTTGTCAGATCTTCACCACTTCCAGAGCAAAGGAGCAAGAGGTTGTCTATATAGCAACCCAGGCAATAAAATGTTGTCTTCATATTGGTGTATGAATTTATTGGCAAAGGAGGGTGCAATATTAGAACCCACAGCAGTCCTGGAACACTGTAGGTAGAATTTTTCATCAAATTTGAAGTAATTAAAAGTGAGGATAAGCAAAGGTCAAGTAAAAAAGAGATAGGTGGTTTGACATGTTCGAGTTTCATAAGGGCTTCGTGTACTGCCTGAATCCCTTCATAGTGTGGGATGACAAATAGAGGCTTTTCACATCTAAAGTAGCCAACACACAGTTGGAATTGGGCCTAGTTCCTGGAGTAGGTTGATGACCATTCCTGAATCCCTTAAAAAGGAGGACATGTCTCTTACAAAGGGCTTCAGGGCATAATCCACAAATACCGCTAATGGTTGCAAGACTGATTCTCTAGCAGATATAATTCGGCACCCTGGAAGGTATTGTGAATCCTTGTGGATTTTATGGAGGTATATATAATTGGACATCGCGGGTGTTCTGTAGTGATATATCCAAATTCGTCTTTGGTAATCCATCCTTGGGCATAGCCCTCACTGAGTTTAGCATTGATAATATATTTGAAGCGAACAGTGGGGTCAG